GCCTTATCAAAATGGAAGATTACATTTCCAAGATGAGAAAATTCGCAAATCTGGACTTTCAATCAAAACATTTTTGACAGTCTGGACATTTTTGTCCAGAAGGATCTTCTTTATTGAAAACATTTGTTTTAATATTGGATTCGAACGGTAAAAAGGTTTGTAATAAATACCAGCTGACAAATGGATTTTGTGTACAAGTAAAGGTAAGACCATAAACTTTTATTATTTCTAGTTAGAAATAAGCTCAATTGGAATAAATTTTAACCTCAAATTAAATATGGGTCATGTTTGTGTGAAGAATGCTGATATGAGATATAAAACACAAGGCATTGTCTGTTAACAGACAATTTGTTAACGGTTCATTTGTATTTGTAAATCTGACTGTAAAAGAGTCAGTGCCTCACCAGCTGTCAACCTCACAGCACGTCACTGGCAGTGCCACATATTTAACTGTCTGTTGGAAAACAAATGCTTTTGTGTGTATATATAGGTCTACTTAGCGTTGTTGACTGATAATTTATATTTTCAGAAAATATAGAATAAACATGTAGTTGATGCTGTTTGTTATTTGTTGTATCTTTCTATGCATGGCTTAGTGCAGCAGGATATAGGATATTGTGTTGCAACAGCGCCTGACCTACTAAAGCATTCTTGAGACTGTGAATTCTTATCAGCACCACAGGTGTTCTCCTAAAACAGTGACCTTTAACCTCTAATAATGGAACAATCACAGCTATATTCCACTATACTGTTTTGTATCAGACTCACCTTTATCAATACCATATCACGGTGTATCAATATGCAGTATATAGGGTGTATAATTTTCAAGTTGCATTTAAAGTGGTGAGCATGACCACAGGTTTGCACATTCTCTTTCAATGTTGAGACGTGTTTTGTTTTTAACTTCTTGCAGACACACTCAAATATCCATAGTCTGCGTGTTCAGTATCTATTGGATAACTCCTTTGTTAATTTGCAAGTCAATCTACAGCTGATGTAACATGACTGATGAAATTTCAGCGGATAAACAGATTTGCTGTAAGACTAGAGGCGTCTGAGAAGGTCAAGAAGAAAAGAGGTCTTACTCTGTTTTCGTTTTCACAAAGGGCAAACATCAAACACTGAGGATAAGTAACAAAGTAAACTGTTTTGGTAGAAGTACAGTGCATACGAAAATGTTTTCAATGTCCCTTACCAGTTTTGCAACTACTGTGCCTATTATTATTTATTTTTATTAGCCTATATACTGTTTTGACTGGTTATAATGTTATTTGTTTGGGAAATCTGTAAAATGCCCCCAGAGTGAGCAATTTACGTCAGTAGCTCTGAATAGACGATCTTCGAATCAATAATAATTGCGCATGCTCACAGAGCGATGACTCCACGAGCTTCCACGTCTGAAACGAGTGGCTTCAACCAATCAGGAGCAGCCACAGCATGTTTGGAAACAATGTTCCTCCCTGTGGTACCTCATCGGTAAAACTCTGTATGAGAGTCTTCGGCAGTACGCATTCAAAAGCAGTGGCGTCTAACAAGTTTCTCTTTCTACGAGACCATTGACGTTGCATTTCTTACTATTTATCGAGGACTCTTCTTATTTTTAAGAGTATATCTATAGCGGGTTAATAGTGTCATCCCGGGAGTGCGACTATAACGAGAGTAAAAATGGACTTGGGAGATTCTCAACAAAAGACGATTGCTCTTCTCATAAAAACGCCCAACCTGGCTCAGGAGGACCAAATCCTGGAAGGCGTCCATTTGACCTCGACTGTAAAGGATCTAAAAACGCGTTTGTCGACTGTCTACCCTACCAAACCGGTGAGTTCTTGTGAGAAGGATAAGTTAGGAGGCTAATGTTAGCTCGTGTGACTATTCTGGAATGTCATGTGAACCAGCTGCCAGTGCACAGCTGTCTGATGACCTGTATAGTCTGACTTTCTGTATGTGTGTTGACACAAAACCTAAACGTGGCATATGAAGAGTTTCAGTGGGTCCTTTTAGCAGTTATTTAATAATTAACCTTCTCTAAATACAATCTACAGTCAAGTACTTAGGGGAAACATGCAGTATAGATTCATATATACTGTACGTGTGATATAAAATTTGTCAGGTATAAAAATAGTTTTTGATAATCTGTTACAGTGTTAATTGACGTTATGAGCTGGAGCTATACGGTCATTTTAAAAAGTTACATTTACACATGTTTTAGAGTAAATTCATGTCATTACTAATCCAGTTCAGCCTTATGCATTTGCCAAGAGGAGTCTAAGTCACCAGTAATTATGGCTCATCAGCAGTGCAGACGGTGTTAAAAGGCACATGAAGGCACTATCCAGAGAATACTAATAAAATGATTTAACACGCAATTAACCTGAGATTATAAAGTTGTTTACATGGATAAAGGAGGAGATGCCAGTCTAAAGGCATATACACATGCAACACTGGAAAAGCAAACACTTAATGCAAACATACATGTTTTTGTATTACTGATAGAGACGGGTGGTCAAGTATAACCCTGAATAAATGAGTGGTCTCTTCCAGGATGACAGTGCCCCTGTCCATAGGGCACAAGGGGTCACTGAATGGTTTAATGCAGGGGAGTCCAAACTTTTTGCAAAGAGGGCCAGATTTGGTGAGGTGAAAATGTGTGGGGGCCGACCATTCAGCCTGACATTCTTTGAACCATTAACATTAAATGCAAATGAACTATTTTATGAAATTTTTATTGCAAATGGCATACTTCTTCACAAGTTTTTACCAAAATCACTCTGCCTTTCATATTTGAAGACCACATAAAATGAAGAAAAAGACTGTCTGGAAAAAAAAATTTGGGGAAGATTAAACATATCTAGGTTAATTTGAAACATTACATATTATTCACTATTAAATGCTCACTGTAAACTTCTAAATTCAAATCACTTGCCTGCACTAAAGTGAAGGGTGATACTGAGATCTCGACTGCAGTAAATAGGCCAGGTCTGGCTCAAAAACAGTGGTTTTGATGCGCAAGTCGCTTGGTTTAATGAATATGAAAATAATCTGAACCATATGCTGTGGCCTTCACACCTATAGGAGAATTTGGACTGACGTGTTGAAAGAATGGTGTTCATTCCTCCAGCAGAGTCAATGCCAAAGAGCACTGAAGCTGTTCTGTTGGCATGTGGTGGCCCAACACCTCACTGAAACACTTTATGTTGGATTGTCCTGTCTTTTGTCACACATCTGTCTGCATACACATAGATACACATATGTCAACAAATTGCCCAAAGCAGATTTTACATTTTGATACCATAAAATCTTTTCTCTGAATTGATCTTCAGGACATGTTGTTATGATAGCTGCTAACAGAAGCTAACAAGATAACAGATTCTCAAAAAGGACCCTACTTGATTTGCAGTGGTAAAGTTTGAGGACAAATGTTAACTTTAAAAATATGTACAAGCAGTGTGCTGCAAAACGGCCCTGAAAACATCCTCAGTTTATGACTTTTGCCATATAATTACATTTCCCTTGTTTTTTCCCCACCAAACAGACATTTGATGAGATTTACCCACTCTGCAGCCGACAGCAGGCTCTTTCCCATCTGCAGACACATCACACAAAACAGTCACCTGTCCAAATACATGTGAAATGCTAAAGTTACTTTGTCCCAGAGGTTACGCTAATTGAATATTTTCTGTCATTGACAGTTTTTTAATAATGACAGAAAAATCTGAAGACCATCTGTCATTTTGACAGATAAGAAAGCAAAGGGCAGTTTACCCTAACTTACATTCATGCTACTGAAAAGCACAATCATTGCTATGGTGTTGATAAATGAGGAGAAAAATAGTAATTGATGCAGCGCATGAAGGACAGCTGAGACCGTACTCCGGAAGCTGACAGTGCATTGAACAGCAATGGAGCACGTATGTGACACATCACAGGGGGGTGCAGCTGCTCCTCTAGTGCAGAAGGATCATATACTGTTTATACTTCAGAACCTTGGCTGAAGTGGAGCTGACAAGTCCAGTCTCCAATGTGGCAGCAAAGCACAGATTCAGCTTTCAGATCTAAATTATAACAGCCATGAGAAATTGTCTGTCCTAATATGCAAACCCTACAGTCGGTTGCCTCTGCAGTAAGCTAGGTTACAGCAGGTCAGCTAAGTTCAATACAGTTAGCCTAACCGTGTAAATGGGCTGTTCATATGTTAATGTTGATTGTCTAATTTTTGACTGTTTCAGTACAGTGACTGCAGCGTTTTTCTTGGCCTCTGCTGTCACTGTGGGGGAAAAAACCTCATGTTGACATGAAAATTCACTGCACATTAGCTTGTTCTGTATATTAATTATTGAAAATTAAATGCTGTTAAAAGGGCAGTGACTTATTAAAAATTTTAATAAAATTGATGGGTAATAATAAATGAGAGAATTTTTATGACCTTATCCATCAAAATGATGGACAGTGAAAAAGTCTAGCATGACCTCTGCTTTATCACCAAAAGTTTCACTTAACTGAACCTACGTGTTTCTGTTTTTTTAAGGCCGTGATTGACCAGAAACTGATCTATGCTGGTAAACTGCTGCTGGACCATCTACACATTAAAGATATCTTCAAACAGGTTTGTGCTTGTCTGTTTGCATGCTGTCTAAACAGACTTTCTCAGACCTCATGAAAGTAAAATTTGAAAACCACAAATTGATTACATCAAGCTGCCAGTTTATTGGGTACATAAAAAATGCTAATACAGTCTAATAATTTAAGGCAGACTAAATATTGTAAATCCCTTTCAGTATAATGCCATGCACACAGTAAATTACTTAATAAATGCACTTAATAAACTGGCAGCTGAGTGTATATGCCTTCATACTGCTGTTGTATTGGCAAAAAACTGGCTAGACAGGTTGAACCGGCATGCTTCTTTCTCACCAAACTTTAATGACATAATAAATGACCACAGGGAATTTCTGTGGCCTGTGAAAGGGTTGCTGTGTTTCATAACACCAGTATAATGTCTTATGTTAGGCTTGTGACTTTTGTGTGTCAATCCCAGTAGAGGTTTGTACTGCTGGAGATGAGAAAGTACCACCAACTGTGGCACACAGTATTTGAGGCATTGATGTTTTGATTTTGATTTGATTTATTCTTTCAAGCATGTAAAGACAGTTGATATGTCAACACACATAATTTTACACATATCCAACAAATGCTAATCCAATATCAATGTGCTTATACCTAGTACATGCTTGAATGGAGTAGGAAGAAGTAGAATTATTACATAGTGTTAACATTCATACACCACACCCACAATGTTCCATCTAATTAATCATTGAGCCTGTTCTTGCATATATCTTGATTGACACACACCTTTATATTTACGTTTGAACTCGTCAATTCTATTACTATTTTTTATGTCTGCACTTAAATTATTCCATAGTTTTACCCCACTTATGGAAATACAAAATCTTTTTTTGGTTGTACGTATAGCATGAATTTTTTAATTTAACTGACCCCTTAAATTGTATCCCCCTTCCCTTTCATTAAATAGTTTTTGAATTCCACCAGGTAATAAATTGTTCCTGGCTTTATACATAAACACAGCAGTCTTATATCCCACTAAATCAAAAAATTTTAACAATTTAGACTGTATGAAAGCTCCATTGGTGTGATCCCTGTACCCCATCTTATGCACAATTCTTATCGCTCTTTTTTGTAATATATACAATGGTTGAAGTGAGCTTTTGTATGTATTTCCCCAGTTTTCAACGCCATACTCTAAGTATGGTAGAATCAATGAGGAATACAAAATGCGTAGTGCTTTCCCATCCAAAACATATCTAACCCTTGCCAATATCGATATATTTTTTGCTATTTTGTTCTGAACATGTCTGATATGAGATTTCCAGGAGAATTTGTCATCAACTATGACACCTAGAAATTTAATTTCACCATCTTCATGCTATATGGTCCAGACCCAGAGTATCCAGAACCAAACTGCTTGATCTGATTCTCTTCAAGACTCTACCATTGTATGGAGCTGTGGTAATCATATTGAGATAAATGGCTCAAATCATTTAGCTGTCATTGGAAGAATGAAGGACACACAATCCCTTCTTTGCGGTCAGTGTCAGGCTTGTGTTCACTGTCAGTATCGACTCCAAAAAGTATTTTTTTGTGTGTTGTTTTTGGCCTTGGGAGAGACCATTTCATCATGTAGCTTAACTAATCAGGCATTTATTTCAACTTTCTCAGACAGACTCCATTCCCATACTGCACCTGGTGTGTGCTATTAGGAATCCACCCCGAGGGCCACTGGGAGCTACACCTAAGGTGAGAAGTGATGATGTTTACTCATGAACTTTCCTGGAAACCTTGGCAGAGTTTTCAGGAAAGTATTTTTTATGAAAATGCCTCAGATGAAATTGAGTGGTTTTGTCTTGAAAGATTAGGCTGTGTTAAAATAACTTCAGCTCTTTTTTTCATATGTATCATTAATGCTGCCAAGTGAATTAAATCCCATCATTCCAACTGGTTTGATTTGTAAGAGGCCATGTAAGCAGAACAGTTGGTTTCAGTTTGCGCTTCAATTAGCAGCATATTTCTATTGTTGTTAGTTGAAATATTAGATTTGCATATTGGCTTTGTTTCATGTATTCACCATCTTATGTCAAGTTTATTAGTGCTCAGTTGAAAAACCTGAATCCTTTTAAAATATTTTAAGTAATAAAACCTTGTTTGTTCACTGTCTAATCTTGTGTTATTTTTGGCTGAATTGTACTCATAGATACGGTCCCTGGTCTCTGATCAGGGTTAGTGTGCTTTTACAAATGCTTTATGGCTCTTCAACTTTGGCTTTTGAAATCCCATAGATGATTTTTAAAAATTAAAGATTTTTATTGTCAATTCACTATATGTACAGGACATACAGAAAAATCGAAATACTGTTTCTCTCTCACCTAATGTTGAGTGCCCATACCATTTAAGAAACTAAAATAGAATAAAAGTAGAATAAAAACAGAATAAATAAAAAATTCAAACTGAATTTAAGAAATAAGGATGTGGTACAACCTTATAGGCTATGATGAATCTCAAAGCCATGTGATTATTTAATTGTAAATAATCACATTTGGCTCTTCATTAGATAAGTTGTACCTTTAAGACAAGTATGAGTTTGAGCTTTTTAATAAAATCAAAAGATATTTCAGGAAACAGCATTTTTGCTGGTAAGGTGAGCATCAGCTTCGTGGAAGTGCAGAGAAGTCCCAAGCAGCAGATGTAGTTTGTGGAGGTGCACAGGTGCTCTTCTTCACCTCCTCCCTCATTACCATGTCATATGGAGTGGAACTGATTCATTTCAGCAGTTTTGAGATCAGAGTACAGCTAAATATAACACACTTTAGTTTCACACTTCCAGGTGTCTTGCTCTGCTTGAATGGATTCTACTAAACCTTGTACATCCTATGCTGAAAAAACTTAGAAGAAGGCATCTGGATGTAGTTTTAGGTAGAAGACGTTTCACCTCTCATCCAAGAGGCTTCATCAGTTCTGCCTGACTGGTGGTGAGCAGGAGGTATTTATCCCACCAGGTGGGGTTTCAGTTCTTTGCTGGCCAACAGTGTCCTCTAACAACTGAGTTGTCCACCAGTCACCACCAGTCAGGCAGAACTGATGAAGCCTCTTGGTTGAGAGGTGAAACATCTTCTACCTAAAACTACGTCCAGATGCCTTCTAAGTTTTTTTTCAGCATACTATGACGTGGATGACTGAGAATCTGCACAAACATCTTGTCCTAAGCAATAAAACAGACCTCTACAGATGATACAGTGGTTTGTTGTAGTACTGACTTTTACGCGGTTTTCTTGATTGATAGTTGGCCACCTTGACAATCCATGTAATTGACTAAGCATGGATTAAGCTTGAATGACAGACCGTGCTCTTTTTTTATAATAAAACCATTTTACCCACTGATGTGACCTGTGTTAGCTGCACAATCAGTAATTTAGAAAGATTAAGATTAAGGAAATGCCACATTACTAGAATAAACACACCCAGCACAAAAGAATGACTTTATTTAAGACTGCAGAGCTTCCATCAGTTGGGCAGACAAAATCCAAAACAGCAAACACCAGGCTTCACTGGAGAATGTACATTAGATCAGACAATTAGAAGGGTTGGACACTGTAAACAATTGGAACAAAGTCTGAGCAATTTTTCTTTAATCGAAAGGGCTGTAGCCTGCAACTGTAAATGGCCTGTAACACTTGTGAAATGGGTTACACTAGTCTCGCCGCAGATGACTGGTTTTACAGAAAATAGTGCACATACCTTACCTACATGACGGGAGTGACTTGTGTGTTGTTGACTGTAGTTAATCTTAATTCAGCTGCTGGAAAACACCTGCACATCTGGGACAGATGATGCATGGATGCATAAATACTGTTGCATCAATTTATTAGATTAGATTATACTTTACTGTCAGAATATACTTTTGAAATTTGTCTTGCAATCCAAGGCACACAGTACAAACAACAAAACACCTACTGTACATAATCACAACAACACAATGTATAACAACATTTAACATATCAGACATTTTGGAAAGATGGTTGCAGTGCAATCAACTCTATCAGTCCAGGAAGTCTTGCACCATGTACTGCCATCGGCGGAATGCATCTGTACTCAGAGCAGGGTGGTGGCTTGTACACGTCATCACTTTTGTTTTGAATGTGTTGAAAACATGTTTGAGAGTACTGCTTGTCTTGAATGTTAACAGCACAGCTACAGTGGTGTCCTCTGCAGTCTGACACTCGGTTCCCAGACTGCCACTTGCTTCTTCCTTAGATGGCAATGAGGTGCATTCTTTTTATAATGTGTGCATCCCTTATGTGGTCAGCAAATGTGTGTAGCTCATCTCATTAAACAGTCAGAGGCACCTAGTGGAGTGCCTTGGTACTGCAGCAAAAAGCTGTACATCTTATGACAGCCCACATGTCCCCATCTTCTGCACATTTGGTAAATAACAGCAGTGAATCGGTTCCTCTTTGCCATCTCTAGTACTGACTATTAGACATGATTTGCTTCTTAAACCATTTCAAACTTGTCTTACCTTTGCAGACTGTAGAAACAGAACAGCTGCATCCTTCCGGTCCAGTACCCCTGACAGCCTCCGCCTCACCCAGTTCCAGTAGCGCTTCCACAGTCCAGGCTCCCAGCACACCAGAACTGAGACAGAGGAGGCAGACCCCTTCAGCTTCAGCTGCTCCTCCAGCTCCCACAGAACTCCCAGCATCTCCTCCTTGGCCTACTGCTACAGTGTAAGCCATAAACCTATATATCTGTTGAAGTGTATTTACAGCTTCAGTAACATGGCCAGAAATCAGTTTTATCAGTGTGACTGTTCAGGATATATTTTCTTAACAACTGGATGAAATGCATGCAAGAAAAGATATTTATATATAATTCTCAATTATGTGTGCAGTCCAGTAGTGAGTGTGTTTCATTTTTTAAACCCTCACTGTGCATATGGCCTAGGAGACGTGAAAGTCCAAACATCAGGCCATTAGTGAAACACATCCTTGGTTTGCCTTTATAAACATGTTCCAACTAAAGACAGAATTACCCTAATCAGAAATGTAAACAAATGAGTTTTATTGCTCCTATGTGCACAGACTTTTACATTGCTTATACTCCCTAGTGGCCTTTGCTAAAGTTTACAGTGCTGAACAGATTCTCCCTATGATCTCTCCACTCCAGGCCTGGAGCACCACAGATGACCCAACCAGCCTTTCCTGCTGTCTCCCTTTACAGCCCTCAGCAGCTGCTCTGGCTCCAGCATGTCTACGCAAGACAATATTACATGCAATAGTGAGTTCTCATTTGTCTGTTTTTAAATGTGTACAATTTTTTTCATTGTTGTGAGTCCTCCCTTTTGGCCTGGTGGTCTCTTTTTGTGTTCTGTCATGGACATGGATGACCTGGTGTGTTATTAACGATGTTGGTCTTGTTCTCCACAAACAGCCACGCAGCTTTGGCAGCAGCAGGCACTGTTCCCTCTGCATCAGCTGCAACCACTGGCCAGTACCCTCCTGTTCCTGCCCACCAAGTACCTGTTCCAGCCCCCTTAGCCAATCAGAACCCCATCAACAACCTGCCAGTGAATCAGAACCCAGCCCAGGATGGCGCTTTCAACCCAGGGGGAGGCAACCAGAACATGCAGATGAATGCGCAGGGTGGGCCTGTAATGGAGGACGAGGATGTGGAACATGACTGGCTGGACTGGTTGTACTCTACTGCAAGATTTGGCATTCTGCTCATGATCTTATACTTTAACTCCAACCTGAGTCGCTTCCTGCTTGTGATGAGCACCCTCCTCCTCATGTACCTGTGAGTATAGTCTGCTGGCCTCGGTAAGACAGATTCAGCTGACACTGTGTTGATGGGGAACATCTGGCAGCCTGTAACACTGTAGTTATCAGTTCAGACTGTGTGGTTCCTTTACTTTGCATATCCTGTTCTCACACTGTTTGCTGTCACATGTACAGATACATGCAATTCCTCTGGCATGGATAGAATAGATTTAGAACTATAGACAGGTGACAATTGACAGGAAAAACCCAGTATGAAGTGTCTCAGTAAGGTGTTGGGCTACCAGAACAGCTTCAATGCTCCCTGACATTGACTCTCCAAGTCTCTGGAGGGATGAACACCATTCTTCCAACAGATATTCCCTCATGTGGTGTTTTGACCATGGTGGTGGAGGCTCTGTTTAATAAAATCATTCAGTGACCCTTTGTTCCTTGTGGATGGGAGCATTGTCATCCTGGAGGAGACTACTTGTTTATTCAGGCTTTTCCTTTCATTTGTCACCTGTCTGTATATTGAATGCATTTGTTTGTCAAGGAAAAGCAAAGAAGAATGAATTGCTGGCAGTAAGAGAACTGCTGTAATTTGAGTCCTGTCTTTAGAACCTGAAGAGATGAGAGAGAGAGAGAGAGAGAGAGAGAGAGAGAAACTGGGTGTGTTTGTGTGTGGAGGACTTGGCTCAGTCCACTGATTACACAAGACTGTCAGTATGCATTTGACCTCTGATTACTTACAGTACTAGCAACTGTTTGAAGGCTCATGTTTAGAGGCGTAAACAGCAGAGCCCTTGCGCTTTCTTTTTACAGTCACTCACTATTTCTGTCATTATTTTCATAATCTCTCTTACCTCTCCTTTCCCTCTGTTATGTCAGGGAAACTGTACAGTGGTTGTCGTCATTTAAACACGATACTCTGTCAGTAGCAGAAAAGCAGCAAGATGATAAGGACTGTGTATATGACAAAACTGATGGTGTACCCAAGAAGACAAGAACTGCAAAGAAATTCATATATTTATTCAGCAACCTTCTGGCAAATGTAGTTCTTCCAGACGTGCAGATATAAGGGTTTCTTCACCCAGAATAAAAGAGAAGCCTAATCATGCAAATGAAAGTAAAACATGGCAAAACATGAATAATGTATAGTTTATTATATCTCCAACATATGTGCAAGTCTTTAAATACATGTTATTGAAAGGTTAAAATGCACTTAAGTGACATGTTGCCAACAAACTGCTGAGCTAACTGATTACTCTTGGTTTGTACAGTAGTTAAGAGTGATGGAAAAAAGTTCCAACAAGTTCAAATTACAGATGGGTAATATTTTCAAATATCTTAATAGTTATTAAATACAATTTAAAAAATCTAATATTTCATGCGACTATGGTTTTGTCTTTAAAACCAAATAGCCACTGTTTTCCCTCGCTTTTACCAGCACCTGGAAATAACACGATAACGAGGTCAGTATATCATTTGACTACAGTGCCATATACAAACAGCAGAAACATGCAGAGACTACAGCCATCAAAAGGTTCTGTGTGGAACTTCTTCAAGAAAATAAAAATGAGGTGCAGTGCAAACTCTGCTGGGTCAAGTTCGTATCATATATCGACCCATTAGCTTCGTCAAGGGGGACGATTTTCAAAGTTTGGCATTTGTTCAGCCGGAGTATACAGTTACATCAAGAAAAACAGTCACAGCATGACGGGATAAACTGTATGATGATAATGAGTGTGAGCTACACAGTCATTTGACAGTTGTTGAAAAGATGTCTCTGACCACAGGTGCATAGACAGCATTTACAACTTAACTGTATGTGACAGTCACCCGCCACTATATAAGCAACTGGAAATTAAAGTGTTGTTCTTCAAACTAAAGCAGTGCCAGAGTGACATACTGCTGACAATCTGGCAAATGTGCTGTCCACTGCCATGTAATACTGGGGACTTGCAGTTAAACTCACAGCACGTGCACATGACAATGCTAGCAATATGGAGCAAGCCAAGACAGAGCAGCTGGCCTGGGACTCTCTGCAGTGTGGGTGGGTGGGCGTGATCTTCGAATAGTTCCCAGTCAATGTCGAATAGCATTTTAGCTTGTAATGCCCATCCCTAGTTCAAACCTGGCTGGTGGTCAAACTGTTGACATTTCAGTTATACAAGCCTTATGCGTCTTAACCGTTAGGCTACCAGAACGTCCCATTAACACCTTCCCTCCCGTTTTTTTCCCTCCACAGGCACACTGCTGGTTGGTTTCCTTTCAGAAGGCGAGTACAAGTCCAGGACCCCAACCATGTGCAGCCTCCTGAGATCCAGCACAATCAACAGAATGCTAACAGGAACCCAAACCCAGATCTAGTAAGAAAACATCCCCTCCAAATTATTCTATCTGACCCACTTTAATTTAACTAGTTTTAGAACTTTGTTGGGCATTGTCATATGTCAGTGCTTTAAGGCCTGTTCAAGTCTGGTTTAAAATTTGCATGTGGTCATAGATGTTCCCTTTTAAATGTGCTAGAACACCACTGTCAGATCGAATTTATTTGAAGTAAGGCTAAATAAGATAGTATAGGTTGATCTGTGATTGAAACATTATACTTGGCTGAAAAAAAGCCTTGAAACTCCATTGCCAATACTCATTATCGTTGTGTATTATGCCCTGTCTCTTCAGGCTGATGAGTTTGCAGACAGACAAAGAGAGGAACCAGGTGTAGCAGCAGATGGATCTGATGGACAAGGACCAATGACCGCAGTTTTGGTTCCTCCTCACAGCGTGTCAGTCGTGTGGACAGCTTGGGTTTTCTTCAAAACCTTCTTCTCCTCACTTATCCCTGAGGTTCCTCAGGGTATGGTCAACTGACTGTCTAGGACAGCTGTGTGATAGACTCGGGCAGATGTTTTGTTTTTTTTTTTCACTAGGGCACAGTAATCTCTGAACTTGAAACATGAGTGGAAGGGTAGCTGGGAACACCAACAGAATCTGAGAGCACCTGTGTGACACCACTCAAAGTTAAACACCAACAAAATACAACAGTGCCAGACTACTGAAGACAACAGCAGTCTGGAGACATCAGACAGTATCTATGTTGAGTGGGATCTCAGCCCTCCATCTGATCAGAAATCAGTTGTATACTGATTGTTGCATTTTGCTGTTTCACAAGGCCTTATAAGACAAGTCCTGCTGCCTTGATGCTGTGGTATCCATTAAACCAGGGTTGCCAACCTTTGTGGATGTAGACTAGCAAAGTGTTCTCTTGCCAAGCAGTTGGAAAAAAATTTAAAATTTTTGAAAAATTTCAATATCTGTCAGGTATGGGTCCATCATTGAAAAATCCAAAATCTATGAAAATCCAAATCTATCAACCACAAATTTTAAGAACATTTAATTTAAGCACAACCCCCCCTCCCCCTTTCAGATGATGTATGTGAGAACACAGTGCTCACAAATCATTTCGTTGAGGCTGAAACATCAAAGTGTAGTTAAAAAAAAAAAGGAAAAACCACACATTTTGGATTAGAGAGGGTCTTTAACAAAGCATTCAGGCAAGATAAGTTGCAAAAATAAAGTCAGTAAAGCTCATTTACAGTTAATTTCACTGCAAATGTAAGCTGATTCTGTTGTTACTTCAGTAACTGTGATGTTGCAGTCACCATAATGAACAAGTCACAACTATTGACAACACCGTGCAGGCCGGCACCAGGTCACGGCATTAAACAGTAGGTGGTAGCTGAGGGTACAAACTAGACCTCTTAGCCGATACTGTTGTGCCTCAGTTAGGCAGGCTGGTGGACACAGAGTTTCTGGACCCTTAGAATCCAAACTCAGCTCATCTGTGTTTTCATAAAGAATATGATCCAGATCAGTAGTCTTGCACTTAGGATGAGCCATGTTCAGTTGAAGTGAAAATCCACACACATTCAGTGCTCCATTATAACTACCTGAATCAGAATTCTGCTTTTCTGTGAACTTGACACTTGAAGATGCAGCCTACCACAGGAGCAACTGGAAACCTCACAGATTTAAATTTTCCATTTGATTTGGGGAACCTTGAAAATAATTTTTGAAATAAGATGTAAAAATAATTCAGCCCACCTAAGTTCAGACAAGTGGTAATCAAAGTAACATTTGTAATGCTATAATTTCAGTTTCATCATTAGGTTTTCAATAGTAAATATATTTATGTTGCCTTTAGTATTCAAATTAATTTTACCCATCTTTGTTTCCAAAGATAGGTTTTGTAAATATATGTACACAAAGTACTTTATATCTATCTTATGCAGGTTTCTTCACATGTGGAGGGTTGTTTTTTTTTTTTTTTTTTCTTCATGTGAACATTTCTAATATATATATATTTTTAGTTAAAGTTAAAATTCATTCATGTCAAAAATCTCACTAAGATGGAACAGGCTAAAGGTCAGTTCAGTGCTCCTCAAGTACATATCACTTTAGAAAAAACCTTTTTGAATTATTTATGTCACCAACTCTTATCTGTACGTCTGTACAGATTCTCAGTCATCCAGGTCATAGTAAGCTGAAAAAAACTTAGAAAAAATCAACTGGACTAGACGTTTCACCTCATCCAAGAGGCTTCATCAGTTCTGACTGACTGGTGTTGAGCCAGAGATATTTATCCCCCTCGGTGGTGTTTCAGTCCTTTGAAAGCCAACAATGTCCCTTAACGTCATTGTTATAGCCAACTATGTGTAGAATACTTTGGAATTAAGACGTGTACTTTTCAGCTGGCATGTTGTATAGCATCTGTATGAAGGTCCCTCTTGCAGCCGCTTTACCTTTTGTTGTTACCACAGGTTAACACTGTAATACCCCATTCATTTCTACTGTACTTGTGGGGACTATAACTCACACATGAGAAGCATAAATGACCATTTTTATTAAACACAGATCAATAGTCAGTCAGGTCATCAAAATGGTGGCTTTGTGCTGTTAAACGTGATATATGTTTTACTTTATTAACGGATTGTAATCAGTGCATGTTTTATTGATCTGTAACAAGGAGTAGGTGGGTTTTACTATCTGCTCTTAACAATTTGACTAAAGGTGGTGTAGTACACCTTCATGCAAACAGCTGAAAAGTCAATCCTCTCTTCTTGTAATTCAGTCTATTTAGTGTACTGCATTATTCCCTCCTGTAAAGTTAGCACTTTGATCCTCTTTGGAGAATGACAGTGACATCAGTGACTGTGTATAATTGGAACATGGTGGATGCTGCAGATTGAATTGTGTGTTGAGGATGACTTGCTGTACTGGATGCAATAAATGTTCTTAACTTTACTGGTTCATTATTGTAGCGATTTGTTCCACCAGTGGTTTGTTTCTCATACTACAAGATCTTGCTTTATTAAAATGTGACAGTATTTCTTGTGGAGGCAAAAGCTGTCTTGCAATATCAGTACATAACAGAACCAAGCCAGTATGACGGAGTGTGATGATCTGTTCACATTAGTGCGGCAAAACGCAACTCCCTGCTCTGTTTTAATACATGGGGCTGCATTGGTCTGGTGGTGAGGGGTTGCTGGAGGAGTGTTGTAGGCGAGCTGAGTTTTTTTTTTTTTAGCCATGCAGCTAATGTAGCTTGATCTACCTTAGCACCAATTCTACATCAGTGTGTATGCATTGATGGATTCTACCAGGGCATTGATTACAAGATAATTAGTTAAAAGAGCCCATGGTACACGCTTCTGTTTTTGGATTTATCTGCAATGTTACAACTGTGAATTGTCACCTGAAATGTGACTGAAAGCTCGACAAATGAGATGCGCCTATGTTGTCATACTTCTATGCAAAAGCTACTCAGTTTTTACACGTCTTGCAAACTCTTGCTGGCAAGACATTTCTTCCAACTGCAGTGCATCCAGAAAGTATTCACAGCTCTTACCTTTTTCCACATTTTGTTAGGTTACAGTCTTATTCCAAAATGGATTAAATTCATTATTGTCCTCAAAATTCTACAAACAATACCCCATAATGACAATGTGAAAAAGGTTTGTTTGAAATCTTTGCAAATTTATTAAAAATAAAAAACGAAAATAAAAAAATCACATGTACATAAACATTCACAGCCTTTGCTCAATACTTTGTTGAAGCACCTTTAGCACCAATTACAGCCTCAAGTCTTTGAGTATGACGCTACAAGCTTGGCACACCTATTTTGGGGCCGTATAGTGACAATGTGAAAAAAGGTAGTTTGAAGCGATGCTACAGGCTTGGCACACCTATTTTTGGGCCGTTTCTCCCATTCTTCTTTGCAGTACCTCTCAAGCTCCATCAGGTTGGATGGGGAGCGTCGGTGCACAGCCATTTTCACATCTCTCCAGAGATGTTCAATCGGGTTAAAGCCTGGGCTCTGGCTGGGCCACTCAAGGACATCCACAGAGTTGCGCTG